GGGCATGTATCGAGGGATTCGGCGCTCAGCCGGCGGCCCCCGACTTGCGCGCTTGCAGCACGTCCGCCATAGCGGCTACAGCGTCACAGCTACCTGAGGTGCGTCGTTGCCCTCCTCCTCTTTCTCCTCCTCCTCCTCCTCCTCCTCCTCCTCCTCATTGTCCACCATCCTATCCGTCTGAGACAAGCCCCATGAAGAGGCACGTGGGGATCCGCAAAAAACATTTTTTGGGGAATGTGCGCGTCAAGCGAGTGGCTATGGGGGTTCAGCCTGTGTAGAAGCTGTAAACATTTCCTGTTAAGCATGGAGTTTTAGTGATTGGCCTCAATATCACGATTCTTCTTCTTCCTCTTCCTTCCTCCTCCTCGTCATTTTCACCTGTTGCAGGTACGTTTTTTTGTTTATTTATTTATTTTTAATGCCGACGCAGGGTCCATCGTACCTCTTCCTCCTCCTCCTGCTGCTTCTTCTTCTTCTTCTTCTTCTTCTTCTTCTTCTTCTTCTTCCTCCTCCTCCTCCTCCTCTACTTATTCTTCTTCTTCTTCTCCTCCTCCTCCTCCTCCTCCTCCGTCACCATCACCTTCTTCTTTTCTTCTTCTTCTTCTTCTTCTTCTTCTTCTTCTTCCTCCTCCTCCTCCTCTACTTATTATTTTTCTTCTTCTCCTCCTCCTCCTCCTCCTCGTCCTGCATCATCACCAACATCTTCTTCTCCTTCTTCTTCTTCTTCTTCTTCTTCTTCTTCTTCTTCTTCTTCTTCCTTCTTCTTCTTCTTCTTCGAACTGGAGCTCGATGTGTGGTGATGGCGGATTAGCGCGGAAGCCATGGTTGTGGCTGTCCAACCGGAGAAATCAGACGAGAATAAGCTCATCCTCATCTTCTCTCAGGTGTCTTCTCTTTTTCTCTTCTTTTTCTTTTTCTTTTTCTTTTTCTTTTTCTTTTTCTTTTCTTCTTCTTTTTTATTTTTTTATTTTTATTTTTTATTTTTCTTTGCTTTCGTTCTTTCTTTCTTGAAACAAAACCGTTTCTGTCCTGTTGTACACTGACACGTTTTTTTTTTCCCCCAAAAAAAAGGGAAAAGAAAGAAAACGCAAAACCGGCACGCGCTTTGCCCCTCAACTGCTTGCTATGCGTGTAGTAAAGACCAAGAAGGCGGAAATTACTCCTGAGTCAGCTTTTCAGTTTGAAATACTAGGCAAGAAAAGACAAAAGTGGCGCCCATGTCATCATTCTTTGAGTTTCAAAATGGGCAAGAAAAGACAAAATGGGCAAGAAAAGCTTGTTCTGTCTATCAGACTTTGTGTCGGACATTTTTGGTCCCCTCAGGGCAGTGTTCCCTGTAAGAGAAACTGGGTAATGCTCCCT